ATAAATCAACTTCTACAAACTAGTTTCTAATGCTCTGCATGTTCGAAAGGATTACAACCCTCCCTAATGCACACATTTATTTGTCGTTCAATTTTATTTAAAGCTCTTTGAACATATTATGGAACATTCGGAACAAACATTTTTTCGCGAAAAAAACCTCATAATCGTGTTTCTGGGGTCGAAATATACCACCCTTAAAAATATTTGCACTTATTTAAGACTCGACCTATATATACCAATATTATATTAAATACCTTTATTTTTTTCATTTGTTTTAAATAAAGGAATTTTAAAATTCAGTATTAGTAGGCCTATTTGAACTTAGGGCTTCGGCCATCATTTTAAACAACAATTTATTTGCTTACACTCTATATCTATTCGTTTCATTCTGCTTCAAAAAATATTTGCTTGTACTCTGTACCTATTTTATTCGTTCTTCTTCAAAACTGATATACCTATAACATCTTAATCATAGATCTTAATGGAGTAAGTAATTTAGACTTGAAATGCTCAATTTGTGGTGTAATTTATGTAAATAACACCACCAATTACTCCAGTACGTGCAACAAGTTCCCAATCAGTTACTATGCAAATGTCACCTAGAATCTGGTGCACAGATATTGGAATATTCAATAATTATAGAGAGCGTCATATTGGACAGCAAGGTAACACGCGCGATGGAAATCAAATATCGAGAAAAAAATGGATATTTTCTATATGCATTATTTAGTATTTCATTGTTCGTTTCGTTATTTTCTATTTCCATAGTTGTGGTAAAAATTACATATTGTAAACGCAAAACATTTTCCGATGCACGTCATCAATCATATCGATATTGACACTAAAGTCTATAAACTTGACTAAATGAAATTTTGACACAAATGTTTAAATTTGTTGTATAATTTAAGATACCGAGCATCTCTTCATTTTACTTTATAGAGTAAATGATTGTTTATTTGGATTAAAGCTGCAAAAAAAGCTGCATGCTGTAAAAACATTAGTTTAAACCGAATTTATTATCGCTCTGTTGGTCATATTGCGCGGTTTTCAGCAAGGTTGTCGTTCATTATTTGACAGTTATCCTAATGTTAGTTATTATTTTGTATAATATCGTGTTGTTGTTGAATCTTTGTGAGTAATTCTCATTTTTTTGCCTATTTTCATAGTCTTTTTTAAAAATTGTACTTTTAAGCACAGACAGTTCTTTTAAGAACTAAATTTTTGAGTTTTTGTATTGCATTTCTTGAAATTATGTATTGAAAATATGCCGAAGCATTTAAACAGTCGAAGCAAAGAGCTTGTAGCTTCCCTGATAAACTATTTTGAACGCGAACGTGACAATAAAGGTCCTTTACTACCCTTGACTGCAGTCAGAGAAGTAAGTTTGATTGATAAGCACATTACACCACTTTCAAAGTTATTTCTACCTTAGTTTTTATTAAATTCTGTGATTATTAGTTTGTGAATTAATAGCACCCTCTTACTTGTTATTACCACTTATGGCGTTGTAAGATGTACATCAATAAATAAATAAATAACCCATAATAACGCTTAGAATAATCTTCATAATGGACTAGTTTTTGCCAATATGTAATAAGTAAAATAAGCTATAAAACAAATAAATCAATTAATTACTAAAATATTAGTTATTAAATTAAAAATAAAACGTAAAAATCTTTAGAAATTATATAATAAATATATTGTTTGTCACTTTTAAATTAAGATTCATCTCATAAATCCATCACAATCTGGCAGCGCTGTCGCCATCGCTTGTCACTCAAAGTTGATCACGTGCATCGGAAATTGTTTTGCGATTACCATATGTTTTGCTACACAAGTTAATATAGTTTGAAAATTCAATAAATTCAATGCATATAGTAGAATCAAGTTATAATAGTTATCAAGAATTAATAGTTAATTAGGGGAAACAAATATTATTATTCAATCAATAAAGTATGCAGCGAAAAACACGAAAATGGCTAAATAGTTAGTTATATGTACCAAGGAAACTATAAGGGTGTTTAGTACCCAGGTTAAAGTTTGCCCGAGGTTATTTGACTGTATTTTAATATTCTTTGTAATTTATTTTAATAGCGTAGAAGTTGTGTTGAAAATAATTCTTTTAAATAAATGGAAACCAGTAAAAAAAGTAGAGTGTTTCGGAGGGAAACAAAAAAATTACGAAAACTTATTACACCATAGTATTTCCGCAAATAACACTAACATTACTTGAAACGATTTTCGGGATGAAAAAGTTTCTTGTTTTCTGTATCAACTTCTGTTCTATTGTTTCCTTCATACGATGACAGTCTGTTTGAAATAAATGTCATCGTATGAAGGAAACAATAGAACAGAAGTTGATACAGAAAACAAGAATATAATTTGGCTACTTCTGATAACTGTAACGGAAGCAACAATTCTATAAAAAATCGGTTATTGAATCATTTTAATTCATCAAAAGTACCAACCAACGTGTTATATAAAATGGCCGTCAATCGATTTACAGTGTTGCCACTTTGATACCATATTGATATCATATTACCTCGTGCTGCAGAGGAGTTTGTTTAGTCAATATGGGGATCTCAAAAATGGCAAGAGATATACAGACTTGGTTTATATTCGAGAAAATTTTCAAAAATTAATATTCTAAACACGGTTTATAAATTGGAAAAATTCAGAATACAGATTACATTTAACGAAATACTTTAAGAATGACATTTCTTTCTTGTCACTTTTTCTCCTCTCAAGGACATCATTCTTGAAATTACAATATCGCAATTATAGATATGGAATAAACAACCCAGATCCGTATTAAAATAATATAAGTTGATGATGGAGACTTTAAAACTAAACATGATGTTTGGCCTCTGGCACTGCCATCGATTAGAGTAAAAAATTACATTTATTTCGAAGTACACATTTCCTTCTAAATTTATTAAGCAACAATAAATTCTAAACAAGCAATTTTTTTAAGCAACTCATTCCATCATTTTCCTGCCTAGGGTAAAAAACTCAAAGTCGAATTTTATAAATTTAAACGCTTTAAAAGAGAAAGAATAAGATTATTGAAAATTGTCAACCTATTATATATATCCTTTGTAAAATAAGAATAAAAACTTCATAAAATCAAAACCCTTCACTCAGTTAACCTTATGAATCAAGAAATGTCGTAAAATATGACAACGCTGAATGACACCACACTGAATTACATAAATGTGTTATAGTAGTTTTTTTACGATACATATTTACTCTATAATCATTATATTTGTTACCAAAATGTCGTATTAGCGAGAAGCCATATTGAATGTACAGGAAAAGCTTTTTGCTGTCGCCATATTGTAAAGAAAGAAGAAAATATCATAGTTAAAAATATACCGGGTGCGTCTCAAAAGTGGCTCACCCCCTATAACTTTTTTATTTTTTCAGATATAACAACGAGATTTGGTATGTTAGTATATGACATAAATTAGGATTGATTGACATATTCAATTGTTTTCGGTAACTTCCTGTTTCACCGGAAATGACTACAATTTTTTGATTTTTAAATGGCACCCTTGGTATTTTTTTACTTTATTCGATAGAAAATGACACTCTGAATAGAATGACATAACATATGTCAACTTTTGACAATTTCGCATATAGTTTATTTTAAATTAAAACTTGCGGTTCGTAACGAAAATTTTACATGAAATACAAATATCCTAATGAGCCACCCTAGTTCCATTTCAAAAAACCGGCCAGGGCAAGACAGGAAAAACATTAGACGATCAAATTTATTTTCCAAGGCTCCTTGATTAAAAATTAGTGTTTTAAACATAAAGCCAAACCAAACCAAACCAAACCATGGTACTCTAGATTAAAATTTAAAATACAATTTGTTTATGAGCGAATATGTCAAAAGTTGACATATGATATGTCATTCGATTCAGAGTGTCATTTTCTATCGAATAAAGCAAAAAAATACCGAGGGTACCATTTAAAAATCAAAAGTTGTAGTCATTTCCGGTGAAACAGGAAGTGACCAAAAATAATTGAATACGTCAATCAATCCTAATTTATGTCATATACTAACATACCAAATCTCGTGGTTTTATCTCAAAAAAAAATAAAAAAGTTATAGGGGTGAGCCACTTTTGAGACGCACCCGGTATACAATATAAATAGGTGAAATGACGCTAATGATATGGAATATTTTTTTCTGACTATTTTATATACAATTGGATGATAAATTTGTCACTTTTAAAAATTCATTTGAGAGCGCATCAAAAAATTATCATATATGTACTGTATATTCCACAATAAAACTTTCTCCGCATTAAAATTTACTGCTCTCTTGACTCGAACTAAATAATTCACAATGATGTGCAAACTTTTATTATACAGATTGATAATGTTATGGTGTCCATATTATTTCTGACATGTGCAGAGGTTGTAATGCGATACCTTTTGTATTTAATAACTACATTTAAAAGATTTTAAAGTTCGATAAAATTTGAATAATAAAACAATATGCGCTGCTATAGAACATTTGTGAGGTTGCTCGGTATAACTGTGTTATAAAGATTCCTTAGACCTATGAGAACGTTTATTCAATAATTATTATATAAGTTGCTGTCCTTAGAGAAAAGCTATAGAACTAAAGATTTCTATAAGACGGTGCCCATTTTCATGATAAGTGCTCTAAGAACGTCTTGAAGATGTTCTTAGATCAAACATTGCTCTATAAAATTTGCTCTGGAAATATTCTTACAATTTTTATAGAACATGAAATTGTTAGCTGGGATATAATTCAGTAAGAAATTAAAATAAATATTAAATAACACTTATTCATTTATGATAAATTTTGATTGATTTTTATAAACTATGATCATGTACTGCAGAATTTTATAGGCTAGAAAATAGCCTATTTGAATTAATTATTTATTCACAATTTTTTAACTTGTGATCGTCACTTTATAATTTGAATAATGATATTAATATATTTTATTTTATTTTTACAGCAGAGCAAGTTATTGAAGAGAACAAGACCTGCGGTAAAATCTTGACGGTCTTGTCATGGGTGGTGGTCATTTTGACTATGCCATTTTCGTTGCTGGTTTGCTTTAAGGTATGTACATAATTTAATTTTAGAAATAGGAAAGATTAATATTAATTACTTTGGTTTTATGAATAGGTATAAACCAACACTAATTAATTTAAGTGCTACCAGAATCTACACTCACCACGAACGGACACCTTAAATTTTGATGTATTTTAAAATTTAATATGCCGATCTGGTCATTGAAACTGCGTGGTCTGGATTTTAACGTTTAAGACAGTGATGGATAATCAAATGTATTAAAAATAGATGTTGGATCTAGAGTTGGAACTTTTTGGTTATTTTTCACAATTAGTTATTCATTTTACTATAGCTGCAATAGATTATATTTAGCTTAGATATATTATCTTTATTTCCGTAGTATACATGAAAGTTTCTTAAATAGTTTATTTTTTACACACATTTTCGTACAAACGTAAAAACCGGCAACACTGTATGCCGCTTATTATTTTGTCTTTCTCTCTATCAACCGGTCGTTTATATTTATCTCTATCGCATGCATTGAAATACAGACCACGCAGATGAAATGACTAAGGCTAGTATGTTGTGCTAGTTGGCCGATTTTGATGATTTTTTAAGCAATTTGTAGCTAATTTATTTGACTTTTTAGTATCTCCATCTAAATTAAAAATGAATGTTTCCATCTGTAAATTATACGAGGGAAAACAAAATGTTGATATTTTGGTGAAAATTTGAAACACCTTGTGGAATATGTTAACAAAGCAAGTAATTTAAAAATAATCTTTGTCATCTACGTACGTCTCTTCTCGATAGTTTGTTTTTTAGTTCATTTCAATAGCTATATTTTTGTAGGAGATATTAGCTTTTCAAAACCACACTAATTTTTTTTCGTAAAATCGAAAGATATTAAGGTAAAAATTTTAATCGACATTAAACGGCCTGCACAATTTTGGTGACAACAGGTGACTAAAAGCCAGTGGACACATGTTTTGTTAGAAAATTATTTCAGTGACAACCCATATGCACGTTCCTGGTGAATCTATCGACCCTTTTTAGCCATAAATTATGTGATATTTAAAGTAACTTTCACATTCAAATTGTCATTTGAATAGCTACTACAAGCAGGCGTTTTGTAGGAAATTATAATAAATCGAAAAAAAGGTCCAAAGAATAGATTCAAGTCCCTTTTGTAGCTACAAAATAAATTTTATTTTTGTGTGAGGAATCTTGTTGAACGAGAGATGGCACATGTTTTTTTAAACATCCGGTATAAAACGTCATAACTTCTATGTAATTACATATCGGGAAACTATGGTTACGGGCTCGTTGAAGTTGACACTTTATGTTAGTGTAATAGTATATTTTCGTACTTTTATGCTTAGGAATAAAAATGCCTAGGCGTTAATAGTTATTTTTTATACAAGACGATAAAATGGTATTTTATCGTCGACCGAAAATATTAATTCACGAGCGATGAAATCGCCAGTGAATTAATTTCGGGAGACGATAATGCAATTTTATCGTCGTGTATAAAATAATAGTTTTTTCCATAGCGAGTTACGTTTACAAATTATTTATTTCAAGGAATTTATTACGAGTAGAAAAAAATATTGTGCTGGGTTGGCGCTGATTTTTATGTAATTTGACAAATAAATAAAGCTGTCTCTTTAGAATATATATTTAGTATAAATATATCATTAATTCTCTTTCGGGTGTCGATTGCTGATTGAATTGGAGCCAGAAATGGCTCAAAACGAAATAAGTAAATTACCAGCAGATATTCAGGCTGAGGCGACAAACGCCATATCCAAACTACTTCCATTTAATTCCCGAATAACTTATGAAAAGGAATACAAAAATTTTCAAAAATGGAAGCAATTAAAAAACGTTCGGGGAGAAATAAAGTTTTTAACCTATCCTCGCTGTTAAAGTATCATTTAATACCCTTGGGGTTAAAGTACTATTTTATCTACTATTTTTGATAGATATAAGGCAATTTTAACAGTTGCTATGGGAAATAATAACTTTTTTATGTTGCCAATCACGTCGCAAAAATTAATACTTTTGTGACGTTTCAAAAAAATATATATTTAACATTGAGATGTGAAGGAATTTTTATTTAGTAAAATAGAGTAAATTTTGAGTGGGAGGTTAAGAATGACAATTATTCTCAATGTTCTCAAGAGGCGTAAACTAACAATAATATCCTACGCTATCGTATCTACGTTTACTGAAGTATGCGCGGCGAAGCGTGAGAAGGACGCAGTGGGTCGTGACATTCTATAAATCTTCTGACTGGAGCTTTAGTATTGCAACCAGAAGTTTTCATATATTTTTGATATCGACACTCTAGTTGTGCATCACCAACAAATAATAATAATCGCGTTGAAGATGGAAGTTTTTATGAAAGCTGCAAAAAACATATGCCATCTCTCGTGGGGAGATTCCTCACGTAAAAATAACATTTACGTTTTATATCAACTGCTTTGTTTCGTAGCTGCAGAGTGTTAAAGTCTTAATATTTTTTCGATTTATTATAATTTTCTTCCAAGTACTTTTAGCGTTATTTCGAATGAAATTTTTAGGGTAAAAGTTCCTACAAACGTGACATATTTTAAACTTAAAAAAGTGTCGACATGTTTACCAGGGACGTGTATATGGATTATCACTGGAATATTTTTCTAAGAAAAACATGTATGCCACTGGTTTGTTTCTGTTTTGTTAGCGAAGTAGTGCAAGCAGTTTAATGCCGATTAAAAGTTGTCTCTTAATATTTTGTCGATTTTGGCCTCCTTGATGACGTAAACGCAATTTTATTAATTTGCCTTGATCCAAGTCTAAAGCGGCCCATACATTATCAAACAAATTGTGACGACTTTTCTGTCGTTACCCAAATAGAATGAAAAAAGAATCCGTTGCTCAGGGTTAGAGGAAAGCTGGGTTCGTAGGTAAGGCTTCTGACTCACAGTGACTTTCTAATGTTGTTAAATATTAAAATAAAAAATGATAATATATAGGCTGCAGAGATTTTAATATTGATGTTAAGAATTCAAATAGGTATGGTCAAAGACAGTGAAAAGGGCGCCACTTACTTTGTTTATAAGAGTGGTAAAGTAAGAAACCAAAAAGAAAAATACGATATCACAACATAGCTAAAATAAAGTAATCAACAGCATTAAGGGTCTATTATGTTTATCAGGAATAAAAGTCAGAAATAACTATCCTACATTAAACATTTATTGAAAACGAACACAAGTATCAACAATTAGTCACAGTGATCCCAATAAAACCGCAAGTTATTTTAAATAGATTCGAATTTAGTAACTGTATTCTTTGAACTAAGTAAGCTACTTAATAAAAACAGGTGAAATTTATGTATGTCTTAATACGATGATGTTTCGAAACATGTCGTGTACAAAAACCTTTAAAATGAATATGTGTTAATAATTTTCATATAAAATATCATAGCTAAGTAAGAGTGTACTGTACGAATCAAATTATAACTTATAACGTTAAATAAAAAATAATTTTGACTACAATATGTGGGATAAATAGTGATAATTTACCAGGTTATTAAATCTGTTGTCTCAAAAATTATAAAATAAAAGTGTACCTTGTGTATCAAACTTAAGACTTATCTGTATATAGTTTCTCATGATGTAAACAGGTAGTTAGGTATTCTCCAGACTAACAGAAGTGGATGCAGATGACTATGGCAGGAGAAGTCTTCTATATCAGCCAAAAGAACGATTGTAATGTCAGGAACACTGTCTTAAGGTCTGCATAGGTCCATACAAAATGAAACTGGGTGAAACATACAATAATTACTGCATTATTACTGCATACCATGTGGTAATTACTGAGTACCATGTGGCAGTTTTACTCTATAAATAAAAAATAGTTCTCAGGACAGATACTCAATAAAAGAAACAACTTACGGTCTGAAAATCAGCTTTACATAAATATATTCAAACCATATGCCGATCCAAACCAGTAATTAAATACTCAAATAAACGAAGTAAAAAACGGAAATAACTGGAATAGAATTTAGTTAGATAGGGCTATATAAAATGGCGGATAAACTTACGGTGATCATTCCAAGAAGAAACCAAACAAATACGATCTATACTCTGAATTGCATACTTTACAAGGTTTTCAAATCTCCAAATCGGATACCCATGCAATCGAAATCGAAAAGTGGATTCAGAGTGCTTTTCACTGGAAAATTTGTCGGACGCCGAAACACGCGTCTTTTTCAGATCCAAATTCCCAGAAAAAAAGACCTTCTTCTCCGTTTCAGAAACGAAAACAAAAACCCTTTTCACCACAGACAAGTGAAAGAAAAAAGTGATATCATATGATCGAAATCATTAGAACAGAAAATCGCAATCCACAGCGACGTGAGATTGGGACAAGTGAAATGCAATTAAGGAAGTTTGGCATATAACGAATAGATGGCGCTAATAAACAAGGCAAGTAAACTGTAAGAAATGAAGTTTGACATCTAGCGAATAGATGCGCTAATAAAAATTAAATATCGAAACAAGTGACCTGTAACAAATGGAGTTTGGTATCTTTGGCATCTAGCAAATAGATGGCGCCAATACTAAGAAATTTGAATAAAAATAGATTTTTAAATTCAATTTTATTAAAGGAAATAAAAAATGCTACAAAATTGAGCAACAAAGCGATGCACAACGTTGCGTTGCACAACTGATTCAGCGGTCCATACACTATCAAACAAGTTGCGCAACAAAGCGATGCGCAACGTTCCGTTGCACAACTGCCTTACCCATGCACTTAGTAAAATTTTGATCAAACTTTTTATTAAAAGTTGTACATTGTTTGAGAAACAATCATGTCCGCAATTGCCATTGCGTCAATTATTATCGTATCTACCCTAGATGACGTCGATGATACCAAAAAACGAAAAAGAAAACAAAGAATTTGGATGAAAGAACTAAAATATTGCACAACGAAGCGCAACACACACATACACTACACAACGCGTTGCGCAAACAGTCCTGTTGCACAAAAGAATTCAAATA